TCACTTGCTCATAATGATTCAAAAGGATGGGATCTTAAATTATCACAAATTGCATTTGCCTTACGTACTGCTCCAAGTGAATCAACAGATAATTCACCTGCATTTCTTATGTTTGGTCGTCGTCCACGTCAACCTCTTGATTTAATATTACCATCTCCACCTGTTTCTGATGATTTACCATCATCTAATGAATTATCTGCTTATCGCAAATGATTACTAGTAGACTTGATGCCGGCTTACAGAACTGCTCGTGAATTACTTGATATTTCTCATCAAACACAATCTCGTCATTACAATGTTCATTGTCGATCATTAGAATTTAACATTGGTGATTTAGTATGGGTGACAAGCTTATCAGGTATTGCTATGGGTAAATGGCGTGGTGGTAAGCTACAGCCAAGACGAGAAGGTCATATAAAATCATCACAAAATTATTATCTGTTACCTATGAATTAGAACATCTTATTTCTCATAAACGTTTATCACCAATACATATAGAACGACTTACGCCTTATTATTCATTCACAACAATCAATTATTTGAACTGATAATATTATTTCATCTGTTCAAAATCTATTCTTCTTTTGTTTATTCAGTAGCTTGTTTATTTTTTCATTGAATGATATTCATCTATTGATTTGTCAATTATTCTGTCCAGTCAACAAATTGTATAATCACTATGCATTTATCTAATAGACATCTAGTTATCTATTGGATTAGTTCATGTTCAATTTATAATTCATATTCACATTTATGTTCAACTACATACTGTTGTTACGCACTACGTTATCTCATCTAGTTTCTTGAGGGTGTGGGTGCGGATGTATTTCTATTCATCAGCAAAAACCGACAGCCACACCAATCCCTACCTGTAACGATAAATAAGACTCTGTTAAGTTTATATCGTAATGACAAACTGGATAGAGGTGGAGTAGCTTACAGCCACTCACGACAATGATGTTTATTCGCTTCTTCACATATCCAGAGTGTAACGACTTCATACATAACCAGTAGTGTCAAACTTGAAACTTGAATTCAGTTGAAAATAGAAAATTTCAACTTTCAACCTTCAATTCACAGCGATATATGTGTGAGTCACGATTCTTCAGAATGCTATTGGTTTAAAAGTTGAAAGTTGAAATTTTCAATTTTCAATTGAATTCAAGTTTCAAGTTTGACATATATGCAAAATACCAGCCAAAACCTATTTATTCCTGGGGTAATTACATATATAGCGTTTTTGAATCAAAACGATTTTCAAATTTCTTGTGTGCTAGAGGGCGTGGGTGTGCGTGTGTGCTTGTGGGTCTGCAAGTAGGTTTAGAAGAAAGAATTCCTACCCACAGCCACCTACACCCCATATTATGAAGACTCTAGAAGGTCAAATCATGAGATCTGTCCAACTCCGAGTTGGCTCGATCTTCATCAGACCGCTTCAGGGTAGTCCTCTCTCAATCATCGATCGAGATTGGCGTGCTGATATTGATGGCACGATTCGATGATTCTCCATCCTCTTTCTTCTGTTCTCTTTCCATTGTTATAATATATCTTTCTCCTGTCTCTCTCCTATATATACGTGTGTTATGTACATATATGTCAAACTTGAAACTTGAATTCAATTGAAAATTGAAAATTTCAACTTTCAACTTTTAAACCAATAGCATTCTGAAGAATAGTGACTCACAGATAAATCGCTGTGAATTGAAAGTTGAAAGTTGAAATTTTCTATTTCCAACTGAATTTAAGTTTCAAGTTTGACACTACTGGTATTTGGAGGGTATTGTTACCACAAGAACATTTTCCCAAAGTAACGCCATATTCTAAAAGCTCATGAACCTTTAGATCATCCTATCTATCTATATTTTTGTTTGAATACAAGTAGTACCAAAAATAATTGAATAAAATGAAGGTAACCTAATGTTCAGGTTGATCCCCACATACTTTTTATCGTCATGATCGTCAAAAATAGTTCTTCAAACTTTTTATCACTATAGAGTTCCCTTTACGAGAAAAGCAATTGCATATTTGGATAGAGCTTGAAATTGCATCCCGTTTTGTATTTACAGTAAAACCTCTATTTGTGAACACCCCTCCTTTATGAACAACCTGTTAATCTGAACGGTTTTGAAAAGTCCCGAAAATCGATTTTTGCTGTAAATGAACCCCTCTTATATGATCACCTTGCTATAGTGAGCGCTTTTCTTCGGTCCCAACGGTGTTCACATTAGACAGGTTTTACGGTATTTATTTACTTTTTTTCATTGATTAAAAAATGATTTGAGTCCGGTGAATACATCCTCAATCAATAATTACCAAGAAATGCATTTTTCATTGCTTCCCGAGCTCTCTTTTTAAATATATTATTCCAGTGTGAAAACTCATTTTTAAAGAGCAATCACAGATACTACTAGAGTTTCGAATTCTCTATCATTCTGTATATCAATTTACTATTTTTGCATTTATATGCGGCAGTGTTATGTATTTTTTTCTCTCACATTATTAAACTCAGTTATCAGCGACACAACAACGTGATGGTATGACAACAGAACGGAACAAAACGATAATCTCCCTCCGATGGAGTCGAACCAGTGTCTTCTGCTTTCCGAGCAGCTATAATACCCCTATACTAAAAAGGAGCGTGTATTATTCGTTTGTTCCGTCTTACGATCGAAGGGGAACACTTCGGTCTTAACGGGTAGTCCATTCAAGACATAAATGCAAGACAAGCTAAAGTTATCAACGACAAAATGACTGAGAATAGTATCTTTGATATAGAATGCACAATTTTGATCACTCAGACTCAAATATTTTCCCCAAAAATATGTCTTGTAATTCTGTATAAAACCGTATATTTGTTCAATGAATAATATCTTTTTCGTTCATATGATGAGGAATATGAATTTGCGGCAAAATCGAATTCATTAAAATCATCTCCGTTTGTGACAAAATAAAAACTGTAGTGGTATAGTGTCATGGCCATCGACCATGATATGAATCTAGTTAGGATATATCTTCTATATTCTGCTTTATGTTTCGTTATGGTGTCATCCATTGTATTCTTTCATGTTTTTTTTCTCTTGTCTCTCTCCATGTGCTAAACTTATCCCTATGTAATAAAAGAAACATCATCAGCATGTGATGAGATATGAGAGGGGGAGAATTTATGAAAGGAGAATATATAAAAGAGATAGATGTTTTGCTTTTTGGTGTGTTTTTTTCCGATTTTTAATTCTTGTCGATTGAAATTGCAATAAAGTTTGAAAATGGAGGTCAAGGAATGAATTGGAAGGGAATTAACATATAGCAGTATAAGCAGTATGCCACTATACTACTATACCATACGATGGGGTACCTAGTGTGGGTGTATGCGTACCTTCTCTCCTGTCTCTGTAAGGGATACGTGACAACTAGCTACCGCTATACCTCTATAACACTATAACAGCATAGCGATATAGCGGTATAAGCATTTTGAATTTGCCGCAAATTCAAATACCCCATGAAGTCCTTTCGTTCTTTCAAAACAGCATAACTATCTAAAATGATTTCGTATAATTTTCAAGGTTTTCATTGTTGTCAATGTTTTTATTCTATTTTCTGTGGAACTCACATATATTTTCGAAGAAAATGGTGAGTGTAAGTTTAGAAGCGAGATTTTTGCGGCTCCCCGCCTCCTCCCCATTACAGACATTAATTAGTTTAAAATTGTGCTAATTAGGAGCTTGACTAATTAGGTTGCTATTTCTTCCTTTTTTAATTACAGACTACACGAAAAACGCAATGGTTACCCATTGCAGACCATAGTATCTAGCTTAGGGTACCATTACAGACCGTATAAACTAGTATCTGCCATTGCTAAATATACCAGCTAATAATTAATACTCAATTGCAGACATAAGCAAATAGGCAATGGCCTAATTATAGGTTTTGGAAATCAGGGTAGATTTTTCAGATGAACTATTTTGAATTATTTTAGTAAGCCGAAGGGATATATGTGAGTTCCAAATTTTAGCCCCAAAGGGGCTGCGCGAACAAGCTCTTTTTGCTTATATTACTGTGTTCTGTGTCATGCCACGTTCCCAGTTCATAATTTGAATCAATTCCCTATAAACAAGGTAATGGAGAACGAAATGATTCAAACCATGACCTGAAAACGTGATTCACCATTGACAAAAAGCAATGCAAGAAAAAAAAATGAAAATCTTGGAAATTATGCGATATCATTCCAGATAGTTTTGCAACTTTTGAACAGATACACTGTTTTATAAGAATTGAACGGCGCATCTTGTGGAAAACACTTTATTCTGAGTGATAACAGTTCTACGTTTTATATCAAAGAAACTATTCTCAGTCATTTTGTCATTGGTAAATAGATAGCACTCTTGGACGATTTTCGTACCATGCAACATCCTGTTGAGAATGATCGTTTTTTCTCAGGAAATACTGTCAAGCTGACTTATGTTCTAATTCATTAAATCACCTGCTGATCGACAAAAACGTTAGGAAACAACCAACATTAGTCATCAAGCATAGATCGCCTTAAAATTTTCAAATATCCTAAACGCAAATATCCATGTAATTCATACCATTAAATAATCAAGAGATCAGGTATTCGAAAGTTACACAGGTTTTGAAACATCCGGGCTCAAATTCACGTCACTCGTACTCTTAGCATTAACATTATAATCGATTTCGACCTCTTTAATACTGATTTTTCTTCATATTTTTTACATGGATATGCATGTTGTTCTCAGTAATATAAAAATAACGATCAATCAAATCGCAGTAATGAATTACTTTATTGTTGCTGAAATAAGGATAGAATAATACGAACAATTGTTTGAAAATGACAATGGCATCATCGTACTATGAGTTTACATTTGCGCTAGTCATTAACCGATAAGATATGAGACAACCATTAGTATTTTCAAAAACAAGAAACGAGATGAATTTATTTTGATTACTGTAGGATTCATTCGATTTGACGATTAAAACAATAAAAACATTGATTTTGTTGATCGCGTTGTATTAATCGACGTTTTGATTGCCTAAACACTTGCAGTCAAGAGGAAAGTACAAGGGGGGAAAGCGGATTCCGTCTATCCGGGATACGTGACAATCCAGAGGATACGACGGCGATCCATGCGATCCGTACTAGGGGTGTGTTAGGGTGATGTCGCACCCGTACATATACATAGTATGTGTTATTCCTCCACTTCTTTGATCTCTACATCTATCTTATGATCTCTATTCGTTATCATGTATTTTCTTTCTTCTCTTTCGCTATATATATATGTTTGTTTATCTTTTGGATTATTCTTAAATAAACATCGTGCTTAACACCAGCACACACATTCAACCCTAACATTTGGCGACCCTGCAAAACAACATCAACGGGAAAAAAAAAGAAAAATTAAATTAATAGTATCATAATTTAGATTAACTAGAGCCTCTACTCAAAAGAGACTTGAATATATCGGGACAGAGCCTTTTGAAAAAAAAAGACTCGGAATCCACGGTCCAAATCTATATTGTTTATTTAATACACAAGAATTACATTTATTATCAGGTGAACAATCTCTCTCTAACTGATAGATGATTAATGTACGTAAGGAATACTTCTGAGTATACCGTTTCTCGAGATTTTCACACCACGTATTGTAATTGGATTTTCTTTTTCGGATAATAAATCTTAGAAATCAAGGAAAATCGACTTAGAACAATTGAATATAAAACAGAAACTGATAACATAGTAATATAGTAGAGATTCTTAGGAGAATTTCGATACTCATAAAAAATTACATATATAAATAAATATATACATACATAAATACATACATACATACATACATACATATATATACGTATATAAGAAAAAAAAGGGGGACGATTCTATATTACATTCATGAGCATTTCTCATTATCAATCTCTCATATTTTAATCACGGCTACCGGTACAAGATCTCAAATTAAAAAACATAATAAAAAATTATTACCATATACTATTATTACAAACCCATCGTCACATATATTATCACAATCTCATTCAACACACGCATACGTTATGATGACTGATCAAACATCATTAGCAAAAGCTCGAAAGGCTTGCTTCGATGATTTACCTAATTTCTCAGGACATCCTTCAGAGGATGTCGAACGGTTTTTAAAAAGTATAAAAAATATTGCAAAAGTCAATGAAGAATCAAATAATCACGAAGTTCTTGAAATCGTTCGTGGTAAATTAATACAAGCAGCAGGATTATGGTTCGATAATCATGAACATATTTTCAAGGAATGGTCAGATTTCGAAACTGCATTTCGAAATCGATATTTTTCAACCACAATTATTCACAAAAAATTCGCTAAATTAAAGCAACGAACACATTTATCAGACGAACCAGTTACATCTTATACTGATGACATAATCAATCTATGTCGCGACATTGATCCAACGATGTCAGACTCAATCATTATCCAACACCTCATGAGTGGAATCAATCCAGAATTTAGAAAAGAACTTTCTCGACATCAGTCATGCATGAATTCATTAGATGAATTTTTAAAATATACCAAAATTGAACAAGATCTATATGATACATTCGAGAAAACTCGCCAATTAGCCATTGAATCGAAACAATCTCAATTTACAAATTATCATTCTCAGAATCCGTCAGTTGCAACTACAATGAAACAACCTACAAATATATCAATCACGAATATCAACAAATAAAGCGTTACAACCACATGAACACAATTCATATTTTAAGACAGCATATTTTAATCAGCAATCCGTACCAAATTCCAGATTCAATAACTGCCGAATCTGTGGTCGTAATAATCATCGTACAATTGATTGTTTTAGTAAATACACGACAGGATGTTTTAAATGTGGTGGAAGCCACCATTTTCGTCAATGTCCAATGCTTCAAAATTTTCAATAACTGGGTCACGCAATGGCGGTGTTCCCAGTACTATCCTTAAGCCATCATCAATCTCATCACATCCCGTCTATATCCAGATTCATATTAATAATCAACCAACTAAAGCAATCATTGATACAGGATCCGCCATTTCAATCATTCATATCGAATTTCTTAAAACTATCAAACATGAAAATTTCCAGCGACAAACTCAATCATGCCGAACCGCAAACTCAACACCACTTAATATCATCGGACAAATTATGCTGGAAATAAAAATTAAATCCATAACAACTTACACCAATGTTTATGTTGCAACAAATTTAATTACATCGATCCTCTTAGGCAACGACTGGATAAACACAAATCATATTCATCTTTTCGGTGACCAACAACAACTAACTATTCCGGATCAATATGGACAACGCATTACAATTTCATACGTGGAACCAACATTTATTAATCAACCGGCATTATTAGTAAATCAAATTACACTTCCTCCATATTCACAAACATTAGTTGATATCACTTGTCGAATTTGCAATGATAAGGATTTAATTTTCGAGCCACAACTAAACCATTTATCAAACTGTATTCTTATACCACATACATTGTTGAACATTCGAAATCATGAAGCAAAAGTATTAATGATTAATGCAAACGATCGACCGCAAACGCTATCAAAGAATACCCGAATCGGAACACTCTCTCGTCATTCAACTTATTCGATATATACAACCATCCAACACTCTATGACCACCAACACTCAACAACGATTAAATCAAGTTCACAATAAAAATAATAATAGAATCATCTCAAATAAAAAAGATGATCTGATTCAGCCGAATAGAAAAAATATATGTGATAGATGCAATGAATATTTTTTATCTGGTAATGATTTACAAAAGCATTTACGAACAGAATGTTATTCGGATCAGATTCGAAAGCACATAGTCGAATCGACAAAACACATTGACAACGAAAAACACAGATTAGCAGTTCAAGACATACTATGGCGAAATAAAATTCTATTTGATCCTACACCATCAATTATTAATATTCCACCTCAAACAGCAATTAAAACTGGTGATCATCCACCTATTTATTCGAAACAATATTC